AGCAATGATTAAAAAAAGCAAAACTTCAAGCTATGAATTTATCTTTATATAAAGCTTGTCCAATTGCAGAAGCAGCAAGCCAAGGATACAAATATTCTAGTCATGTCAGCTTCAAACATACACATAATTTGTAAGAGTCCCTGCCTACATTTTTATATATGCAAAAATAAAGTATGGGTTTTATTTTACATATATTGTAACATGGGGGGTCAGGAACGCGACTATAGCACTTACTAGAGGTTCAATAATGTGAAGCTCAACAGGGTGCAAGCTGAATTATGGAAATTAAAAATGGAAGTGCGAAAACAGCATTTCATTAAATTCAAGATCACTTAATATGCTATTTAGGCTGCTCAGCAGCCAATAAGGACAGAGCAGGAGGCAAAAATTCTTTTTGCAAAGGATGGAAATGGAAACAAAAAACCCACCCCTCTGCTCACTTCACTCTTAAATAAGGGTCACGATTTCATAATCTGGATTTCCGATACAGAAATCTTGCCAAAGTGAAGGAGGTCAATGCTTAAGATAGGATGGCGCAGTGGTTAGAATGCAGTATTGCAGGCTAACTCTGCCCATTGTTAGGAGTTTGAGCCTCACTGGCCTTAAGATTGACTCAGCTTTCCATCCTTCCGAGGTGGGTAAAATGAGGATCCAGATTGTTGGGGGCAATGTAAACTGCTTAGAGATGGCTGTAAAGTCTATATCGGTCTATATGTTAGCCATACATTGAACTGAGCCATACCGTGTGTTCACTGTAACTTGTCATGATGTGGGAACAGGTAAGGCAGGTTTAATGAATAAAATATGGTTAAATAACTGAGCATTTAGCACATTGTGTAAATCTTACTACAGATAGTCCTCAAATTGCAACCATTCATTTAGTGACCATTCAAAATTATAAAGGCACTGAAAAAAAATCACTTATAGCAACAGCAATAGCACTTATATACCGCTTCACAGTCTTCTCTAAGCAGTTTACAGAGTCGCTGTCAGGATTCCGGCAGTTACCCCAATTAAATCCTGAGTCTCGAGCCAAACTTCCAAAACTTTAAAGGATTTATTTAACATGTCCAGCACTGCCTGGGTGTAGCCGACTCTGAGACACATAATTTATTGTCACCCTTTGACCCTGGTTTTCCCCCACCCCGTGTGTATCATAATTCATATTCTCCAATGGGACACATCCATAGCCCAGAGTCATCAGTCATGTTCTCCAGTTAGAATTTTGCGCACCAGAAACTTCAGTCACCTAGTTACTATCTCTGAAAAACTATGTATGAAATGCACTTTTGATTTCCAAGCTGCTGTTCTTTCAAACCCCTTTCCCCCCTCCCTTTCTGTTGGTAACTCTAAAACGACCATAGAAATATTTCATGAGTTGACATTCAGCCTATTGCCCCCAACAATCTGGGTTGTCATTTTACCCACCTCGGAAGGATGGAAGGTTGAATCAACCCTGAGCCTGGTGAGATTCAGACTGCCAAACTGCAGGCAGCCGGCAGTCAACAGAGGTAGCCTGCAGTACTGTACTCTAACCACTGCGCCACTTATGATCATTTTTCATAATTACAACCATTGCAGTATCCCCTTGGTCATATGATCAGAGTTCGGGGGCCTGGTAATTGATTCATACTTATGATGGCTGCAGTGTCTTAGAAGTAAAAACTAGCTTCTGGGGGGGGAAAAACATTGTCAGTTGTGGTCATGTGACTGGTGGCCATTACAATGTCTGTGAATATGGGCCAGTTGCTGAGCAGCCAAAAAAATGCAGTCACAGGACCTTGGGGTGGTAGGAGATGGGCATCATAGCTTCAGAACCAGGTAGTAAGTACTTTCTGGAAGATTCATTGTAACTTTGAACAGTCACTTAAATGGCAGGTCTTAAGTCAAAGACTATCTGTATTGGGTTGCAGTGGCTCAGTGGTTAAGACGCTGAGCTTGTTGATCAGAAAGGTTGGCAGTTCGGCGGTTCGAATCCCTAGCGCCACGTAACGGAGTGAGCTCCCATTACTTGTCCCAGCTTCTGCCAACCTAGCAGTTCGAAAGCATGTAAACATGCAAGTAGTAAAATAGGAACCACCTTTGGTGGGAAGGTAACAGCGTTCCGTGCACCATCGGCGTTTAATCATGCCGGCCACATGACCACAGAGACATCTTCAGACAGCGCTGGCTCTTTGGCTTTGTAACGGAGATGAGCACTGCCCCCTAGAGCCAGAAACAACAAGCATGTATGTGCTAGGGGAACCTTTACCATTACCTATCTGTACCAGATTGGAGAAAAACCAGGGAAAATCCCCACTTAGCCAAGACGGGGGCTAAGGAACACCTGCCAAATGAGGTTAGAATATCCATGCTGAGCCTAGCCTACCACGCAGGATTGATGCGAAGTAAATAAACAGAGGACTTTCTGACTTGTGTTTAAATGCTTAGAAAAAAAGACAGGATGAAAACTCAATCACTTTCTTATTGTCGTCATAAAAGCAGAATTTCCAACTAACGCCACTGCATTCAGGCCATAAAAGTGCAATCTGTATTGCCATTACCAAGAAAATGCAAATTCAAGAACTCATTTCTGCTATCTTAATATTTCCAATAAACTTGATTTTCCTCAGCATTTAAACCTCTGCCCTTTCTCATATTCCTTAGGCTAGAATCCTGTTTCTTTGCAAAGACATCTGTTGTTCCTCTCAAGATTTACAAAAAGTTTACTCCCCAGAGTCACACATCTCCATTTCTGGGAATCAATCTTAGATCCCTGCAAATCCACGTAAACCTTAATTGGACCGCATACTTCTGAATAAATGGCTACTTTGGGAAACACTGTAAAGTTCAACTTTCACCAGTATTCCCGAATTTGGTGGTGCCCTACGGAGGCCTTGACCTACCACTTCCACAATCCCCAATCCATTCAGTGTATGTGAATTGGGAATGAAGGAAGCTGAAGTCAATGGTCGAGGATACCAGAAAAGCTCCCACAACCAACGATTGCTGTCCCCAAAGGTGCCTTTTTCAGGAGGCAACTAGCCTTTCTTGATTTTTTCACTTTATCATCTTCAGGTAGTCGGGAATGGAAGGATTTATACTCCTTGCAGACAGCTGGCCATTTGCATCCTTTTAGAGCAGTGGTTGCCAACCAGTGGCCAGGGACCGCTGGTGGTCCGTGAGAAAATTTTGGTGGTCCGCCGAGAAAGGCAATTAATCCAGGCTGTGTGGGAACATAAGGTGGCGCCACCCATCTGGCCCATGGGAACATAAGGCTTGTGTCGCTTGCATTGCAAACAACACAAGGTAGTGAGGGGAGGAGGGAAGGGCAGAGGGGGGGAACTTGCCTCCATGCACCTGGCCTGGCCACCGGGCTGCTTCTTTCTTCTTCTGCTTTTGGTTGCATGCAAGGAAAGCATCAAAAGTCTTTCTCTCCCCCAAACTCCGCCAGAAATTAGTCTTTGGGACCCTGCAAGGCATCCTGCTCCAAGAGGCTGCGCCAATGCGACAAGTCTCACAAAGACTTATTTCTGGCGGAGTTTGGGGGAGAGGAAGAAAGACTTCTGCTGCTTCTGCTGCTTTCCTTGCATGAAGCCAAAAGTCTCTCTCTCTCTCCGCCTGAGACCGGAGCTGGAGACAGTATCCTGCTATCCCAAATAATGATCGATCAGTAGGAAAACGGGGTGGGGGAATTTTCCTGGAGACTTTTTGGGGGATTTTCCCAAGGTCTCTGGTCCTCGGGATTTAAAATTATGAGTTTGGTGTTCCCTGAGGTCCAAAAGGTTGGCGACCCCTGTCCTAGTCCAATCCCCTGCCGGAGCAGGAGGCCCTATACCATTTCAGACAAGCATCTTCTTAAAAACCTCCAATGATGAAACATTCACAACTTATGAAGGCAAGTTAATTGTCCTCACTCTTAGGAAATTTCTCCTTAATTCCAGGTTGCTTCTCTCCTCGATTAGTTTCCATCCATTGTTTTTCGTCTTGCCTTCTGGTGCTTTAGAAAATAAGTTCACACACACACACACCCGCCTTCTGTGTGTAGTACTACGACACATCTTTAGCGTGCAGTACAAGACACCGCCCCCTTTCTACTACAGGCTAAGCAGCCACCAACACCAGCCACGTTTCACCCATCCTGTTCTGCGCATTCGGTCCGGACAGCGCGCTCTGATTTATGGCTCCGTGTGTCATGGGAACGCCGAACACGGGTCGACACAAATACACACACACACACACACACACACAAACGTGTCCTGGAAATTGTGATCTGCATCTTCTACCACCCACCCCCAATTCGAGAGTGGGGGGATTCCCGGCGCTGTAATCCCCAACTCTTTGAGGAGGAAGCGAGGAGAAGTGAAGCCCCGGGAGCGCGAAAAGGGAAACGGGCGGCTGTCGGGCAAGGCCAGCGGCGAGGTCGGGAAGTTTCAAGCGGCCCGAAGTCCTGAGAGCCGCTTCCCGGCGGGGCTGTGAAGCCGCCGGACCGTCGCTCCGTCCCGCCCTCAACTCTCTTCCAGGAGAGACGCGGGACCTTCTGCCCTTTCTAGGCATTCGCCCTGGCCGCCCTTTTTTGGGAAGGCGCGCCCGCCTCCTCCTCCTCCTTGCAAGCGCAGACCGCTCCCGCCTCGCCGGAAAGTTCCGCTCGGGCTCCTTCTCCGCTTGCCTGTAGCGCCCCAGAGGCCTCCGCCGCCGCTGGCTTCCCTCCGCCCCGCTCGCTCTTTGCTTTCCTGCTTCTGAGGAAACGTGGCGCGGGGAGCCGCGGCTCTCGCGCGCAGAGCGCCCGGCTTTAGGCGCGTCTTGCCCAGCCCAAACTTCTCCTCAGCCCCGCCGAGCTGCCTGCCTCCTCCGCCCGCCCCGGGCCGTTCCAGGCACAACTCCGAGCCGGGAGAGCGTCCCAACCGGGCGCTCCCACCCCAGCGACACTTTCCGCAGGCAGCGCAGCGTCATTCCCGCCCCTCCACCCCGCTTCCCCCAAACCGGGCGCTGCCCGACTCGGCCGCCCCGCTGGAACTCACCAGCGCGCACGTGCTGTGGCGCTCCCGGCCGCTGCCCGCCAGGCTCGCCTTCGCCCGGGAGGGACGTGGCAGAAACGAGCGGCTTGCGACCGCGGCTCCTCCCCAGCCCAAGCTGCGAAACGCGGGAGACGCCTCCCGGCTCCGCTCTAAGCCGCAGGCGGGACGCCCTCTGCCGAGCGAGGGCCGCCTGAGCCGGCTACCCCGGCGAGAACGGGCGTCTTGGCTGGCTGGCCGGTCCTGGCGGCTGCCTGGTTGCCTGAGCTGGCTTTCCTGTGGTTTCACCCGCGGCGCGGCATCCTTTCCCGCCGCCCCTCCATTTCCCACCCCCCCTCCTTTCTTTTTTTTTTGTCTCCGGAGAAAAATTGAAAACGTTCAAAGGCGCTGCGGAACGAGTCCGAAGGACGGGCGCACGCTGGTTGGGTTCCGACGACACGCTCAACCCGGGTCAACAAAACACCTCCAAAACGAGAAAGCTCGTGCCGCGTTCGCCTTCGTTTGGCGTGTGGGGGCAGCCCAACCTGGGAGTGAACGATACAGACCGGGATGTACACCTTGTGGGTTGCCAGTTGCTTGTTATGGGGGTCTCTTTGTTATGATAAAGGTTGTAAGGGCAGCGCTTTGCTTCGGTTAGCAGCCCTGCTGGAATAAGAAAATGAGATATTGAAATATGAATGGTGAAAAGTGGGCGGTGGGGAGGGAAGCCCAGTCTGCGTCTCTCATCCATAGTGTCTCTGCAGTCCTTGACTTTTAACCGTTCAGAATAAAATACACCCGAGGACCTGGCAAAAAAAATAAAAAATAAACATTGGAGACCTACTTCTGACAACACAGCTCAGCCCACACTGAACTAGCCACATTAAAACTAACCGGATGAGTAGACCTGTTGCTTTATACCAGGTAGTCAAACTTAGTACAACTGAGCCCTGGCATTTCTGTTGCTAAGTGAAACATTTGTTAAGTGAGTTTTGACCCATTGCATGACTTTTCTTGTCACCGTTGTTAATAGAATAGAATAACAGAGTTGGAAGGGACCTTGGAGGTCTTCTAGTCCAACCGCCTGCCTAGGCAGGAAACCCTACACCACTTCAGACAAATGGTTATCCAACATCTTTTTAAAAACTTCCCATGTTGGAGCATTTACAACTTCTGGAGGCAAGTTGTTCCACGGATTAACTGTTCAGTCAGGAAATTTCTCCTCAGTTCTAGGTTGCTTCCCTCCTTGATTAGTTTCTATCTGTTGCTTCCTGTCCTGCCCTCAGGTGCTTTGGAGAATAGCTTGACTCCCTCTTCTTTGTGGCAGTCCCTGAGATACTGGAACCCTGCTATTATGTCTCCCCTAGTCCTTCTTTTCATTGGACTAGACATACCCAGTTCCTGCAACCGTTCTTTATATGTTTTAGTCTCCAGTCCCGTAATCATCTTTGTTGCTCTTTTCTGCATTCTTTCTAGAGTCTCAACATCTTTTTTCTGGTGAATCACTGCAGTGGCTAAAATTAGCAACACAGTGGTTAAATGAAACTTGATTCTCCCATTGACTTTGCTTGTCAGAAGGTTTGGACACTGCAGCCGTCATAAATATGAATCGGTTGCCAAGCGTCTGGATGTTGATCATGGTACTAGGGGGATGCTGCAAGTGTGGAAAGTGGTCCTAAGTCCCTTTTTTTCAGTGAGGTTGCGATTTTGAATGGTCACTAAATAAATTTGTTGTAAGTCGAGGATTACCTGTATAGGAGGTTTCTGGTCCCCGTGCCATCAGCCAGTGAGGATCCTGTCCTAGAAGGAATCTGCATGGACAAGAGGAGGGAATGACGAGGCTGGTTGAAAAAGGTGACACTCGATCCCATTGGATTATCTTCAAAAGAGGAGTACAGCATGCGTAAAGGTAAAGGTTCCCCTCACACATACGTGCTAGTCTGCTAGTCGTTTCCAGCTCTAGAGGGCGGCGCTCATCTCCGTTATAAAGCTGAAGAGCCAGCACTGTCCAAAGACGTCTCCATTGGTCATGTGGCCGGCATGACTAAACACCGAAGCCGCACAGAACGCTGTTACCTTCCCACCAAAGTGGTCCCTATTTTCTAGGTGCTTTGGAACTGTTAGGTTGGCAGAAGCTCACTCTGTTACTAGGTATTAGGGATTTGAACCGCCAAACCGCCAACCTTTCTGATCGTCAAGCTCAGCGTCTTAGCCATTGAGCCACTGCGTCCCTTGAATCATCAGTAAAGACCTTTACTGATCATTTATCAGTAAAGACCTGCAACTAAAAACTTTTAATGACAATGTGCTTCTCACAGCTATTTGGAGAGCTGAATTCATACATACCTGGAAGACGTGTATGAAGATTGGAACCCTGGTCCACTTTTGTAGGTAGCTATAAGCAAATGTTTTCTCTATTCCTAGAGAAGGAATGGTCTCCTCACTATCCCTCAATCCAGTTCCCCCAAAACATAAATTCTGGAATTCCTTAGCTATATGGACTTCATGCATCTATCTGAAGGCATTAGGGCAGGTTAGGAGATGAAAGAAAGGTCATATTGTACATATACCATGCTCTCCTCACAATCTGCTCTCTAAGAGAGTTGGCTCACTTTATGCAATGATCTGGCTAGTCCTAGTTGAGGTCAATGCGATAGAATTCTATTTTGTGAGCAATACCTGATCTGTTCAACAGATAAATGGCTGTCCAATCTCTTCTTAAAAACCTCCAGGGTGGGTTTGATTTAAATCAAGCCGATTTAAATCATGATTTAAATCACTAGTAAAGAGGCTTGTTTTAAATCAACATGATTTAAATCATAGTTTTTAAAGAGCAACTGCCATCTCTGACTCACAGCGGCTCCTCCTCTGACCTGCGGTTGACTCACCGACAGTCCCAATATTGCAGAATATATAGCCTCAAGCTACATAAGTAAGCTCCATTTCATGCTGCATAAACTAAATTATTAATGTGACTTAAATAGAAAACTATCTTTAGATAGATGTTTACTCCAAAAATCATTTTATTAAAATAAATTCGATTTTAAAAAATCTGATTTAAATTTTTAAAAAATTCGATTTAAATTTTAAAAAATCAGATCATCAATTTTTATCCACTCTGATAGATAGAGTTTACCTTAAGAAAAATTTCATTACATTACAATTGTAATGTGTCATCAAATGGGGCAGTAGAAATTTTGAGTTTTAACACAACACTGCTCCTTCAGTCAGGCACAAAGGGCTAGATTCAAATGATCATATTTTAGACATTTTTGTGCAAAGATCTTTGGAGAAACCTATAATGCTGGGAAAGATGGAAAGAAAGACTAAAAGATGACCAGCACCAAATTGGATGGATTCAGTTACAACAGCAATGGTTGCATCACTGGAAAAAAATTAAGGACCAGGTTGGTGGCAGAGTGCCCTGCAGAAGGACTGCCTATATAAATACTAAGTATCCATACCTTGATGTCTCATAGAGAAAGGTAAAAACAAAGTTTCTCCTCTCCAGTTGAGTCCAATTCTAGAAGGCAAAGGTTATTTTCGTTTCTTAGCCGAAAGCCAGCATTGTCCAAAGACATTTCCATGGTCATGTGGCCAGCATGATTTATACGGAGAGGTGCACAGAATGCTGTTGCTTTCCTACCAAAGTGGTACCTATTTATCTACTTGCATTTGCATGCTTTCGAACTGCTAGGTGGGAAGAAGTTGAGGCAAGGATGGGAGCTCACCCATTGGTGGCACTCGGGTCTCAAACCTGAACTGTCAGCTTTCCAGCTGACAAGTTCAGCATCTTTAACCACTGAATCATCACACTCCTTTGATGGGCACATAATCGTTATTCAGGCATGTTAGGCAAACACCTTAATACAATCAAACATGAGCTCCGAAGTCTTACTAATTCGCAGCTCCAGGGGGAAAAAAGATGGAGATAGAGATTAAATAAATTAGGGAATAATGTAGAGCAAGTATTTCTCAATTTCAGCAACGTTAAGGTAGGTAAATTTCAACTCCCAGAATTCACCAGACAGCATGAGATGTATAGATAAATTCATTGCAATATTTGTATACTATCAATTTCACATGGAAACTTGCCTGTAATCTTCAAGGCAAGCCTTAACAAAATACCATTTTCTAGAAGATACATCAGAATTCTCATAAAATAGTTAATTTTGATCTAGCAGGTTTGAGTGTGTACTTCTGGTGAGTATAAACCAATCAATGGTTTACTCCATTATCCTTGTTTCTTTATTATCTGTTACCATTACCTGTGGGCTGCCTAGGTGTCAGATGCTTGACAACTTACAGTATTCAAACATGAAAATAACACATGGCAAATAAAGCTTAACTATCTCAGCTGCTATTCACATTTAAAAATCATTCTTTCTAAAAGCTCTGTGGAGAACTGTTTCCTCCATTTTCTTAAAGATAAGAAGATAGGGACGGATCTCATCCTGGAGGTTATCACTAAAAATGCCATCTTTTTGACCCAACACCTTTGATCTCTTGGGGAGCGGTAGCCAAATGATCTCTTGAGGGTAGCCATAACATTAGATTAGATTAGACCATGTACGGCAGTGTAGGGGGGGGAGGAAGGAAGGAATGGCCTTGAAGGTGAAGAAGAAAAACTACTATCAAGGCAAGAGACAGATAAGAAAGTTTTGATCCCAGGCCAAGAAAACGACTGAGAAAACATATCAGACAAGTCCCTCCCTATTTCACATGATTGTAATGTAAAAGGTAGAAAGCAGATTCAGACATGGAAGATTCTTTTAATGTGGGTTCAGTATGGCTCCGTAGAAATGAATAGGATGTAAAGGGGTCATGATAGACTTAATCCTCATTTATTTCAATGGATATCTTCTGCATGTGACAACCTCTGAATCCAATTTGGTATGTTGTAATTTGTGAAACCCTAGGGAGAAAATGGGGGAGAGAGGAGGAGGGGAAGAGGAAGAGGAGGAAGAAGGAGGAGGAGGAGGAGGAGGAGGAGGAGGAGGAGAAGAAGAAGAAGAAGAGGAAGAGGAAGAGGAAGAAGAAGAAGAAGAAGAAGAAGAAGAAGAAGAAGAAGAAGAAGA